GAATTTCGAAATTGTCGGCTGATTCTGGAATCACACTTGTAAACGCGAGCTACCCTATGTATGTGACGTAAGTGCCTACTATTTTTTCAAAAACCTCGCCTTTCCCGCCACATAAATACAGCACACTGTTTCTTCTACGAGGCAATGACGACGCGAGCAGAGTTCAGTTTTTTCAGTTGCATACAACGTGTTAGTTGTCGTTGACGTCGGGTCTTACAATATTGAGCAACGAGGAAATCGATTCGGGTCATGTCAGATGCTCCACGCGCTGGCGGGTCGAAATCTAAAAGCGATGTTTCCGTGCTCATAGTAGCTGCAATCAGCGCTGAACTTGTCACTGGTAAGTTCATACGAGTTGGTCCAGCTTGACTCCGCGTCGGTTGGCATCGTCAACTTGCTCTTCGTGCATCAGAAGAGACACCTGTGGCGCAATTATGTAAAAGTTCCAAATCCGGACAAAGGCGGTCTCTTCCATTGAGTCGCACGCGATTGGCCCATACAAGCTGTGACGAATGCTGTGACGTTATGAGTGACGTGGACTGGGGTGTCACGTGACTCTTTTTTTTTCGGTTTTCGGAGAAAGGCGAAGGAACGGTCGGAGAGACCGTCCGAAAGCAACCGGATGGATTGAAACGGCTGCAAGGTGGCCTGGATTGGATTGAAATGGAAAAAATGCGCGACTTTTCGGCACCGGGGCACTTAGACAACATGGCGTTTCCCACTGACATGGTACTTCGCCTTGCCTGTGCGGTAGCTTCAACCTAGTAGAGGCGACAACGCGAGGTAAAAGATGCATTTGAAGAGTTCAGCGAAGAAGAGTTCCGGCAATGTTTTCGTCTGTCCAAACGAACAGTGCGTAGCTTGTGCGACGAACTTGACCCTATCATCGGATGCCAGCGAGCCAGTGGCCTTTCCACAGAGAGAAAGGTGTTGTGCGCGCTGCGATTTTTCGCCACCGGTAGCTTCCAGCTGAGCATTGGTCGCGAGGAACACATCGGCATGTCTCAGCCGGCGGTGAGCAACACCATCCACGAGGTGACGGAGGCGATCATTACCGTGGCTGCTAGAAAAAGGGTGGTGGACTTCCCACTGACCACAGCTGCCAAGGATGAGGCGAAGGCGGAGTTTGCACGACGTGGTTGCATCCCAGGCGTGCTGGCGTGTGTCGACGGCACGTTGGTTGCCATTCGCAAGCCAGAGGGATAAAGCCTAGCCGACACGGCGAGTTTCATGTCCAGAAAGGGCTATTATGTTCTGAACGTCATGATCGTAAGTACCGTTCGGATCCTTTCTTACTCGCCCATCGGAGTAGCTGTTCAGTTTTGACGTCGGAGCTGGGAAAAGTACCAATTCAAAGAATAAGGGAGAACATGCGGATAAACGGGTGCGTGCTAGTTGGTGGCTCTCATGGCCTCGGTTATCATAAGTGGCAAGTGTTTGTGTAAGTGAGCCAGTTGTCGTATTTTTTGTCTTCGTTCTGGCATGCATGCGCAATGAAGTTGAGCATTTTGAAGGTAATCAGAATATGGGCTGTAGTCGTAGCAGAATTATACACACGATAGGGAAGTATTTCAAACACGAAAGTACTTATAACCACAATTGCATAGGCTAGCTGTGGTATGTACGAGTGTTCTTTCCCAATAGCATGGCGTAGGTTTTCATTTATCGATCATTCAGTGGAAGTCCTAGCCATGTGTACAGGGGAATGGTCATTGCCCCCTTCCCTCCTCAGTTGCTACACCCTGTCCCTGTGTTCCCCTCTAGGTGAAGCTGCATGTACCAATGACTGTACTAGTATGCATTGTTTCCGGCTTATGTGTAGAAAGAAGGGGTTTGTTTGGAGCATAGATGCAGTACTATTTTGTATCACTCATTACAGGTGTGCAACGCACGGCTGCGCATCCTTGTCGTGGACCCACGATTCCCAGGTTCGTGCCACGACTCCTGGGTTTGGGAACACAACCCTTTGCGTTCACGCCTAGCTGCACAGCTGCAGCCTGGCGAATATCTGCTTGGTAAGTATTAATGTGAACTAACTGGGGTAGAGCACTCAGCCGCCATTTTTCTATTGCAGGAGACGCAGGGTATCCCCTCGAGCCATGGCTCCTCGTTCCAGTTCCTGGCAGTCACCCCGGCAACACCTCCGAAGGCCGATTCAACAAGGAGCACGCATCCATGCGCAATGTTGTGGAAAGATGTATCGGAGTGTTGAAGAGCAAGTTCCGCTGCTTGCAGCACTTTCGAACGATGCTCTACAACCCCGATCGAGCAGGGCGAATTATTTATGCCTGCGCTGCTCTTCACAACATTGCATTGGACGCGGGGGACTGGACCTTGGATGAGTATGTTGGGGACATGCCACCAGTTGAGGATGACGATAAGGAGCCAGGAGAGAGCCATGTGCTCACACCCCGCAACGTGCTGCTCAGAGGACAGCAGCAGTGCAGCGCTGTCGTGGGCCTTTTTTGAAGTGCACAGGAACGCGGTAAGCTGTCATATCACACACATAATTTATTCATACTAATTCCAGTGCACCCAGGCAAGACAGGGCCGTGTTTGCCACAACACAAAGTACTTACTCGTGCTTCAACATTATGCATGGTGGCAATAGAAAAATGCTGCATTTTTTTTTAAATGTCACATGAATTAGGCAACGGAAACACCCTTTTCTATATCAGTGATCACAGTCACAACAGACTAGATTGGATCAAGCGCATATGAGGGGCACCCTGTGCTGACTGTTGCCATCAAAAGATTGTGGGAACAATGCAGCAACGTCACACAACTTCTTTCACGAAAACGCATAAAAATTGCAGTTACATTAGAAACATGTTGCAAGAACGCATGATACGTATGTCCGTCTCTTCTCATAGTCATTGACTGCAAGCATTCAATTGTACACATTTAGGCTTGCCGAGCACAATGCCGTGCCGGCTTTTTGTTCATTGTCCTCAACATTGTATAAATATTTAAATAATATTTCATTTGATTTGAATTCCCGACTACAGTTATACTGCAATGCTACAAAATACGTAAATCAAAGCAGCAAATAACATGTGGGTTCTTTTGATGACACACGGCATGAATATTTGGCTCAGCAATCTCGCTGCTCCCAAAGCATACCACGTTCAAAATTAATTCCTGCAATGAGTAATTTACAATGAAAACAGTCGCTGGCATGTTGCTGTGATGATGACCCTTTTCATTAGTGAAACTGTGCGACATACCCACTTGCTAGTTTAGTGATCTCAAAAAAGACTTGGTTGTAGTTGTACCTTAGCCTCATTGCGCTGAAATGACAATATCACAATGTAAGCGATTTTCGGCAGGTAAACATGCTTCATAAAGAATGCAGCGAGCTGCGAAACAGTGTGAGGCTAAAAAATATCACAGTCCAACACTATGTGGTAATGCTGCATAAAAAGCGCAGTGAGCTAGAAAACAGTGAGGCAACACAAATATCACAGTGCTAAAACATTCACAAAAAATGTCAACTATACGCTCTTGGTCTTTGTGTGGATGACTAGACACCTTTAAGATGGTGGGGGGAGGGGGGAGACGCTGCCTCACGAGTAGGTCCAACATAAATTGAGAAACGCATATATCGAACATCAAAATATATGAAAGACACGTGAAGAAAAAAACTCTGTACTCCTTGTACAAAGTAAATGCTAACTTAAAGGTAGTATAAACCAATAATGCATGATAAACATTTAAAACATTAAAAACATGATGTAAAACTTAAAATAAACGCATATATCGAACATCAAAATAGATGAAAGACATGTGAAGAAAAAAATGCTGTACTCCTTGTACAAAGTAAATGCTAACTTAAAGGTAGTAATATGTATTAAATGTAAAAAAACAACGTATGAAACGGTACGCTGACTGCAACACGTAAACATAGAAAAACTAATAAACCAATAATGCATGATAAACATTTAAAACATTAAAAACATGATGCAAAACTTAAAATAAACGCATATATCGAACATCAAAATAGATAACTATGTATCTCTTTCCCGCAGAGGGCCCTCAGCCACGGCCCGCTCCTGTGCTGCGGCCGCCCGCTCCTGTGCTGCTACCATACGCCGCGCCAGAGAAGTTATGTGCAAGGCTGACCTTCTGATCCCCCGCACCTCCTGCAGTGAATCATCATGGTGGAAATGTTTGCATGAGCTGCTGAAGAACTCTCGACCATCTCGTGGCTCGAAGCTGCTGCTGCGGAGAATTGCAACGTGAACAACAATTTCCCCTCAGTTGAAAATTCATTGGCCTGGTGGCATCCTTTGAAAGTGTGAAGCTTCGTGTACAAGCTATGCCCTCTTCGTTTGGATCAACAAACAATTGCTGGAACTACTCTTCATTCATCTCCTCAAATGCATCTCTTACCATCAAACAGCCCTTTTCAGGGCTAACCAACCTTTTGCCCGGCAGTTTATCATTGCAGATGTCAGATACCGTGCCCTCAATACAATGCATGTTTCTTATTTACAGCCCAAGTTGGTTTCAGTCATCATAACAGAGCATCAAAAATGTTCACACCCTTTACGTAAAATTTAAACAAATGGTCTACTCACATCAAGCAACTTCTCAGTCAGCTCGAGGCTCTGGTCGCACTGGGAAGACACCCGCAACAAGGTGTCGGTGCGCCGTGGCCTCTGTCGACGGCGAGGCCGCACAGGAGGCTGAGACACTGCAAACATGCAGCATTTTCGTCACCGCATGCTGTGGTAGGCTTTAAGTCTATGGCCATGTTGTGGATAATTGGGCAATTCGAATAACATACGAGAGGTTATTTTCTCAAAACACTTTGATGATCAATAACTTACCCGGTGCAGCGGGGCCGCTTTCCAGGTAACTTGGGGGGCCTTCTGTGGAGTAAAGAATAAAAGTTCACGAACTGGGCGCACATACGTCCTATAATCAATAAAACACTAAGTTCTCAGATGCTTACGTGTGGCTGTGTCACTGTCACCTGCTGCGCCGCTTCAGTGGCTTCCACCTCGACCTCCATTGCAGGAGCGGGAACATCCGCCTGCTGGAAAGTGTCGTGGGCATAATCTTTCAGAAAAAGGGTATTCGTTACTCTGGCTATTTTACAACCTTACCTACTAAACATCTGCGGAAACGTTCTGCAGCTATTCAGTGGTCATTGATATCACGTATTACCATTTTAGTGCATGCACTTGCCCGCAGGCATTTCGTGTCTGTTTGATAAATAAATACGCCTTTTACTGCAAGGGCTGCAAAGCGAGATTTCAGTTGACAAACCTACCTGCTTTTGAATTCTTTTTCCTGCACTATCTTACTGTTCAACAAGGTTCCCCTAAAGGCACCCCTTACAAAATGGGCAAACTCTGTCATGGCACCGCTCAGGAACCCGTGATACTGCGGCGGCAGAGTGCTTACCTGTTGATATTCGAGGGAACCGAAGACGCCACCGAAGCGTGCCAACCCGGTGAGTTGCAACACGCGACCACGGAAGCCTGGCAGACGACCCCCTCCAGTGCCCCTGGAAATATACACCAATTGGTTGCGAAACTTTATTGAGGTCCTGCAAGGCGCGCGTCAGCGCGCAGCGGGCGTCTCCCACGTCGGGACCGTTAGGCCAAGCCTATCGGCCGCTCCGCGGGCCTGCTGGACGGCCCAAAGTTGGTCGGCCAGGAGGGAGCTGCGAAGGGCCGCCTCCCACCTGACCGATGTAGTGTTGGGGTTAGTGTACATTGCCTTGCACTCCCAGAGCATGTGCGCCAGCGTGGATACATCCCCACATTCGCGGCAAGCGTCATTGGGGAACACGTCAGGATAAATAGCGTGAAGGGATCTCAGGTTAGGGTACGTGTCGGTCTGCAGTAGTCTGAGCGTAAGGGCTTGTGGCCTATTAAGATTTGGATGAGGGAGTGGATATAGTCTCCACGCGAGGTAAAAATATTTTGTTATTTCGTTGTACGTGGCAGGCGCGTCCCTGTTTTCCGCAACCCCGTTGGCCCCGAATCGTTGCCCGGAACCCGCGCGGTCGGTAAGTGCGCGCGCGGCCTCGTGGGCAGACTCGTTGAGGTTGGGGGGGGCGCCTTGGACCTGTCCAACATGTGCAGGAAACCAAATCAGTACGTGGTGCTTGATGCCGTCGCGGCCACCACTTCGGAGCACGCGCAGGGCTTTCTTGGAGATTACACCGCGCTCGAAAGCGCGAATAGCTGACCTAGAGTCACTATAGATGACCTCCTTCTCACCTTCCAGGATGGCCAGAGCGATGGCCACTTGCTCGGCAACCGCCGGATCGTCAGTGTGAACCGATGCGCAGTTGGTGATTTGTTGTTTGGAGTCGACGACGACTGCGGAGAAGGCGCGGCTCCCACGGTACGCGGCCGCATCGACAAAGCTGACGCCGTGCTCCTCACTGTGAATCTGCTTGAGAAGAGTGGCAGCTCTAGCCCGTCGCCTACCACGATTGTGCTCGGGATGGACATTCCTCGGTATCGGTGCCACGGTGATGAGGTCACGAATCTCACGGGGTACCTGTCTCATCTTCTCGTCCACTTCAGCCGGAGAGTGACCGAGCTCTCGGAGTATATGTCTGCCGGTCTGGGAGCTCGAAAGGCGCGCGAGCTGGGCCCGCTCCCGCGCTTCGGCAATCTCCTCCAACGTATTGTGTACTCCGAGCTGGAGCAGGCGCTCGGTGCGCGTCCTGATCGGGATACCGAGGGCCCGCTTGGTAATCTTTCTGAGCAAGACGTTGATCTTGTCACGCTCGGCACGCTGCCAATTGTGCATGGCCGCGACATATGAAAAGTGGCAGAGCACAAAGGCATTGACCAGGCGGATTAGGTTGTCTTCCTTGAGTCCTTGGTAGCGGTTGGCCACCCGCCGAACCAGCCGAACCGCGTTATCCGTCTTGGCGGCGAGCTTGAGTACAGTCTTGCCGTTGGAACCATTGGACTCGATGGTCATGCCGAGGACCCGAATGGAGTCAACTCTGGGTATCGCACTGCCATCTCCGGTGTAGAGCTTGATATCACTCTTCGAGATCGGCTGCCAGTTTTTGGGCTTGGGCCCTCGCCTAGTGGGTTGGTAAAGGAGAAGCTCGGACTTGCTTGGGGAACACCTCAGGCCTGTGGGACGGAGGTAATCTTCCGTGGTGTTTATGGCCTCCTGCAGGGAGCGCTCGACTTGCCCGTCGCTGCCACCTGTGCACCAAATGGTAATATCGTCCGCGTAAATTGTGTGGTTAATGCCTTCGATACATGAGAGCCTCATGGACAACCCGACCATGACAAGTTTGAACAGGGTGGGCGATAGCACTGACCCTTGTGGCGTGCCGCGCGATCCCAGCTCGATCTCCTCGGAGACAAGGTCTCCCACACTGAGGGTGGCTCTCCTACGGGTCAAGAACGAGTTGACATATTTGTAGAATCTGACTCCAAGGCCGAGCTCAGCAATCGACCGCAACACGAAAGAGTGAGCAACATTGTCGAAGGCTTTCTCTAAATCGAGGCCGAGAATGGCCCGCATGTCTCGAGTGTTGCAGTCGATGACTTGGTGCTTGAGCAGCTTCATAGCGTCTTGCGTCGAAAGCTTGGCCCGAAAGCCAATCATAGTGTACGGGTAGAGCCCATTGTCTTCCAGGTACCGAGTCAACCTATTGAGGACCACATGCTCGGCTACCTTTCCCACGCAGGATGTGAGCGAAATGGGGCGCATGTTGTCCAAGTTGGGTGACCTCCCCGGCTTAGGAATGAGCACGGTGCGCGCGACCTTCCACGGGTCGGGGACCTCGCCGCTCTTCCATGCCTCGTTGATGATCTCGGTGAGGTAGTCGATTGATCGGTCGTCCAGGTTGCGCAGGGTCTTATTAGTTATGCCATCGGGGCCCGCGGCAGACCTCCCATTGAGCGCGTAAAGCGCCTGCCGAACCTCTTCGTGGCATATCTCGACGTCCAGTTCAGTGTTGGCCGGTCCTGAGTACTCGGGGTACGTTGTTGCGGGGTTCGAGTCGACAGGGAGGTACTTTTGCACCAGCTGCTTCAAAACCTCCTCTTCTGAAGAGGACTGCTTGGCTTCGTGCATGGCTCGCGCTAGTACGTTCCGCTGGTTAGTTTTGGTGTTAGTCTCGCTGAGCAGGTGCTTGAGCAGGTTCCATGTCTTGCCATTACGCATCTGGCCATCTACCGAGTTGCACACCTCGTCCCACTGCTGCTTGGAGAGCACGCGACAGTGCTCCTCGATGGTCTTGTTTAGGTCGGAGATTTTCTTGCGCAACCTGCGATTGAGGCGCTGGCCTTTCCAGCGGGCGAGAAGTGACTGCTTGGCCTCTAGCAGGTGGGCAAGGCGGCTATCCATTTTTTCAACCGGAAGGTCAGTACTAATAATCTTGGTGGTACTTATGACGTCCTCTCTGAGCTGGCTAATCCACTCCTGTAGGCTTGGCCTGGTTGCAGGTAGGGGTCGGTCGTTGCGGACTTTGCGAAACTGGTCCCAGTTTGTCCAAGAAAACTCCCGTGCCCTCTTTCGGACCATTAAAAACTGCGTCACCAGGACGTAATGGTCGCTACCTAAGTCAATGTATGAGTTGGCCCACTGTACATCGGGGAGATTCTTGACGAAGGTCAGGTCGGGAGTGGAGTCTCTGCAGGATGAGGTGCCCAACCGAGTTGGAAAGGCCTTGTCGGTGATTAGAGTCAGGTCCATGTCCGTCGCGTTCTGCCACAGTTCCGCGCCCTTGCTGGTATTGTACGGGTAGCCCCAAGTGTGGTGCGGAGCATTAAAATCGCCCGCCACAACTAGGGGGTTGGGACCTGCCAAGTTGACGGCCTTCTTTATGAGGGCCCTGAAGCGCTGCCGTCGGTCCTTAGGACTACTGTACACGTTGAGAAAAAAGATGCTGCTTCGGTCCGAGCTGCGCGGCAGAATCTCGGTCATGACATATTCGGCGCTGCTGGTGGCCATTTTGAGGTCGTGAGAGATGTGTGTGAGCTTGTTACTGACCAAGGTGCAGACGCCCCGGCCATCGGAATAACGCGAGGCGGGCTTGTAACCAGTCAGTGTGACGTTTGGAGTTAATGTTTCCTGAAGCAGAATGACGAGGGGTTTTTCGCTAGAGCATCGAATGTACTGCTGCAAGGACGCCTTTTTACTAGGGAAGCCCCTGCAGTTCCATTGCCAAATAAGAAACGTCTCACTTGGCTTGGCCATCTTGGTGCTTTTGTGGGCTGGTGCTGCCCTCAGATTGGCTAAGAATAGCGTGGACGATGGGGCCCGTAGCGCCGGGCTGGGGTTGTACGACGGCGGTTGAGGTCAGAGCTGGTTTCACTACGCTTTCGAGAAACAACTCTACTTTGGATACTCGGTCGTTTTGCGCGGCCAGGGTGATCTGCAGTTGGGCGAAATTCTCCCCGAGCTTATTGATGCTTTCACTGAGCGCGGATAGCGTGTCTCGAAGCTCAGACCTGACTCGAATCGCTACACCTTCCTGTTCGTGGGCGACGGCCCTCTTCTTGGGAGCACTTTGACCCTCACTGCTGCTGTCGCCGGCTTTAGTGCTGTGCACCTCCATGGGTAAGAGCATTGTATCGGCGACGCATGCGACGGCGGGTTGCGGTGGTGGGTTTCTCGCGTTCTTAATCTCAGCAATTTCGGACAAAAGCCTGTTTATGGTTTCCTTCATCTCTGCGTTCTCGCGTTTCAGCTGGGAAATCTCGCGCGCGCTCTCCGCATGCTCTGGGAGTGACCCCGACAGTACCTCAGCTGGCCCTCCTCGGACCGTGTCGGCCCAGGTTACAGAGCCCGACTTCTTGCTTCTCGCTGACACCCCGCTAGGCTGCTGTTGACGCCCGGTAGACCTGGATCGAGACCTGGAGCGGCTCCCAGACTTGTAGCGCCGGGCTCTTCCTCGGGACCGGGAGCGGCTCCTGGACCGGGAACGGCCCCTGGAATGGGACCGAGAACGTCGCCTGGAACGGCCCCCGGAACCACGTGACTGCTGGAAGTCCTGCCCATCCGTGGGGGGTGATGATGGTGCCGTGGCTTGGTCTTGATCGGTGGCGCGAGACTTTTCCCAGCGCCTTCGTCGCACGACATACGGGATCTGGAATCTTTGCCTACAGTCCTTGTCAGCCGTGAGGTGTTGCCCACCACACAGTCTGCACTTGGGGGTACACTTGTGTTGTGCGTCAGGATTTGAAGCCCCACAGCCCCGACATACGACGTCGCCTGGGCTGGGACACACATCAGCACGGTGACCGAGCCGACCACAAGCGTAGCAAATGTCTATTTTCTTGCGATAAAGCGAACATTGCACAAGGGTGGGGCCGTAGCGTACAAAGTTTGGGACTCTATGACCGTCGAAGGCGACGATTACCGTACCGGTGCTGCCTATGCGCTTGGCTGCCAGGGCGAGCGGATTTCTTTCATTTACGATCTTGTTGTCAATATCATTCGGGCCGTCTACGAGTGGAATACCTCGGATCACGCCCTTGCACGTGGAATGAGGGGCGGCCTCGTAGGCACTGACCTCGTATGTTCGGCCCATGACGACGATCTGCCGAACTTTGACGTAGTGGTTGGCATTTTCCCTTCTAGGTGTGCTGACAACCATAATATTCTGCTGCACGTTGGGGCATAGCGTGTCGCCCCGCAAATCTTCGGCGCAGAGGCTTGTGGCTGCCAGGATTGCATCAGCCACCACGGTGCAGCCGGTCTTGACAATATTGAGGCCTCCGCGGGGCCGAATCACGATCTTCGTATCCTCCTTGGGGAGGTGGGGCATCCGGCCAGCGCGGATGATTCTAGCCTTGATGTTATTGCCACTGTTGCGGCCTCGCGGGGCCTCGGCCGTTGTCGACTTCGTCTCGTTGAGAGTAGCACCATTAGGATTAGCGCCTGCCGAGCGCGCGCCAGCTCTTCTGGCGCCTGCAGACTGCCAACCTCGGTCTTCTGTCACCTCTTCGGGGGTTATGTCCTCCCCCACCACCTGATATTCCATTATTTTCTGAAAATAAGCCCTGAGAAGAGCGAAAACGGCACCCGGGAACGGCGACGCGGCTGGCCTCGCGCCGGCGTGGGCTTACCTCGTTAGGCTTAGCCCAGGCGGTGGCCGGCTCCGGAGAAAAACGTTCCAAAACGTGAAAATAGTCCACTCACGCAGCAGGTTTTGGCATCAAAATAGTCCTGGCACTTTCACTGATGCGACACAAACAAAGCTGAACGCGCACTCGAAAAATTCACTTGAATATCATTGTAGGAAGCAGGAGCCACTCGAAGGTCGTATGAACAACACACATATACACCAATGTCAAAGAACAAATCGCCCGCACATTCAACGGTCACTCACGTTTGTGCCTCTTTGATGGCGGCGGCGTCACGGCGGGCCTCGTGCACCTGCCTGCGCCACCAAGCCTGCCAGTCATCCACGCTTTTCTGCGCAGGGCCTTCAAGGTTCAGCGCGTCGCTGAGCTCTTGCCACAGCCGCCGCCGGTCGGCGACCGTGACGCCATGCTGCAGCTCAATGGCTTTCGCCGCGAGCTGCGGATGTTCGCTCATAAAGGCGAGCACCAGCGCGCGCTGACCCTCGGAAACGCGGATGAGCCGCTGCTGCTGGTGGCTAGCGGTGCCGTTGCCCTCCGCCATGACCGCGCTCGACTGAGCCAACGGCTTCGAAAGTTGCGCCATTTAGTAGTGGAGTTTTGAAAACAGTAACTGCTTGAAACAAAGTTGTACCTAGCGCCACCACAAATCGTCCCGCTAAATTTAGCGTTGTTTAGAACAATAACAGAAAAAATACGTTTGGATTGTATCGTATTCCTTATTAAACAATTGAAAACTAGTGCCAAAACATTTTAATAGTGCGCAATAATAGTCAAACACTTCTGAACATGTTACAAACACTTTTCACTTTGCTATACGGCACCCAAGTCTACGTCAAAATGATGACGCAAGCCTCCATTTCCCTCATTGGCTGTTCACTTCCTCTCGTCCTCGCGACCGCTGCGGACCGCCCATTTTTTGACGTCACCGACAGACCGCCTCCGTCCGGATTTGGAATTTTTACATAATTGCGCCACTGAGCTATATTTACGCCATGGCCAGCCGTGGCGGGGTGTAGCGTATCTCGTGACGTCATCGGCGATGGATTCCGTGACGTCATCCGATGCCTACCATAGATGGCAGAGCAGTCCCTTGTTTCGGTTTCTGCTTTCACTTGTTGTTTATTGCTTTTGCAGGACTGTCAATACGTTTTGCAAACAGCTTACCTCAGTATGGTCGAAAATGCACCGGAATTCTCTTTTAAGCTGCTGGGCTGGTGGCCCGAAGGTCAAGAGTTTGATACCGGCCACGGTGATTGCACCTCGGTTGAAGGCGAAGTGCCAGAGGCCCGTGTGCCAATTCACAAACATTTGTCATTCGTTCCAGCATACACTGCCGGCACACACGTACTGACGCTCGCTGGTTTCTCGCCTGTACGCTGCGTAAATTTTCTTTCTCGACAATTTGTAGAAATTCACACCGAAAGACGGTTAATTTGAATCTGTGAATACCATTACCATTATGGCTATGTTTACCCTTGATGCTATTCTCACTATGGGAAACAAGCGAATTATCGTAGATATTCAGGCGTATACAAAAAAATCATTCTCATTCCCCGCTCACCGAAATATTGTTTGCGCGGGGCATAATCCAATGCGGGACATGAAGGTTATTCATAGAGGATATGAATGAACAAAGTGTATATACAGGAATGACACGTACAGTGCTCAACTCGGCTGTCTATAACGACGGAGCGCCGTGAGCGAAACAGCACGGGCGACATCTGCAGTCGCAAATACGCCACATCTAAGCATGCGCGGCGCCAGTGATGTGCCTGCCTCGCAATACTGATTCCTGTTTATCGCTGCGGATGAAGCAACCACCTTGGCCGTCGAAAGCGCTCTGAGCGATTTCGCGAAAAAACAAAAACAAGAAAGAAAGACAAAGTGAAACCGTCGTCGCTGTGATATGTCACGAAGCGAGAATATTTCTTTTTTGTTGTTGGTTTACTTCGATTTTGTAATGTTGACAGTGCTTGCACGGCCAAAGCAGCCATCGCGGCCGCGGAGATAAGGAAGGGCAGGCACATCATTGGCGCCGCGCATGCTGAGATGCGGCGTATTTGCGACTGCAGATGTCACTCGTGCTGTTCCGCGCGCGACGCTCCATCGTTATAGACAACCGAGTTGAGCACTGTACGCATGACCTGACATGACGCCTGACATGTGTTGGCATACATGCCCGGTGTAATGGCATGGCGTGCGTGGCATGAATAACATGCGTGCAATGCATGTGTACGACGAGGATTGAGAGTGCAATGTGAGGTGCAGCACGAAACGCGTGACGTCATCTTCGCTATGGTAATTTCGGTGTCACGTGCTTGTCCTCGGGCATGTCAGTGTAGCGGCGCATGGGAAAAATGTGCCGTAAACATGCTTTCTCTGGGTGTTGATAAAATCAGTGCTATAAGCTTGAAGAAAATTTCTAGAACACTAGTGAAAGTTTTTTGTCGAGACGTAGAGTAGCTGAGGCAGAGATCACGATGCACGTTGGCCATCTGCATCGATAACGGGTTAAGAAAAAATTAAATGAACCATCAAGAGCGCAGCACATTATTCACTACCAGAATGGACGCTCCCGTGTGCGTGCAGGTTAAAGAAGTGAATGTGTAAATTTGCTGTTGTAGGCGCCAAAGAAGATAGTTTTCACTTGATTTTTTTACCTTCTTTCTGCAAGCCGATACGACGACACCTATACGACGCTAAAGCGCTTTTTAAAACCATGTGGCTGTTTAATCAAAGTCCTAACGCTTCGTTGCGGCACCCAGTTGTGCGACAGAAACGATACAAAAATTGTAGAGGATTTCAAACGACTGAAAATGAACACCTGTCTTCTAAAATGTAGCCATTGAGGCATAAGCGTGCTTTAGGAGGGAGGGGGGGATCTCCGACATTCTAAGTGCCAACATCACAAAAGTAACTTTTTTGTTCATTCCTCTTGTCCTTTGTAATCTTCTCTTGCTTGATTGGTACGTGGTTTTCTTTATTTATCTTTTTTATTCTTTTTTGCTGAAGTTGGCATGTGACCAAGAGTTTCGGCGGACCACGTCGCACAGAAAGTTCTAGATGTCTGTGCTTCGGCAGAATGGCTGACGAAATATATTCAACAACATGCTTGCGGTCTTTCCTAAATCACTGAACTTAACTTCTTCTTCAAGGGCATTATAGGTAATTTGAGACGAAGGACTTCGAATGTCGTTATCCTGAAATTGCAAAGAGCAAAAGTAAAACGCGCCGAATCATAGAAGCTCACAATATCTCATGTCTCGGCATAACGCGGAACATTTACTTCAGTTGATAATGTGTTTGTGAACTTTTGGTAAATATTATTAGTTGCATGAACGCCTTATTAATAATATAATAGTTTCATTTCCACCAATACACAGTTGATGGAGGGGGCGACAATAAAAGCGACTATCTGCTTGACCAAGTTTTCACCCCTCTAGGCAGTGGCGGTAGCGGCAAGAGAACATCACAGCTGACAGAAGTGCACAACATTAACAAAATTAAGAATTTAAAATTTTGAAACTGACTGCAGACGGTTGCACTGTCACCTCCCCCTCCCCCCAATGCACACACACAGCGCAATAAACATATGTAAAAATGTAAATCAAAACTCGCGTCATGTAAACCACCAAATACACTAAACATACGATATACGTGCAGCGGTGATGGCATTTTCATCCCTTGTGTTTTTGTTTCTTGTCTTTCCTAATATTTAGCTATGAACTTTGAAGATAAGGTCTTAATTGCCAGGAACGTTAATAATATATTGGTGAAGTTTAAAAGGGGTGATATCTGCTATGTTAACACCTGATGAATATCATCTTAATTGTAACGGTAGCCGATGAGTAATTTTTTGTTGTCCATAGTTAGTTCTTGTACAAGGATGCATCCAAGGTGGCTGATGACGGGGTGGGTATATTTTGGTTGCTAAAGTTTCATGGAAGCAATGTCTGCGATAGTAGATAAATTATTTTTTGTTCGATAATATAGCGTTGTAAAAGCCTGTAAATGTATAGATTGTAAAGATCGATGATTTCATGTTCGCTAAACAAGAGATCAGTTGTATGTATCCAAGAAACGTTATAAGTTATACGGAGGATTTCATTATGAAGTCGTGGAACGTTTTGTAAATTAGTTTAAGTCATTGTCGCCCACACTAACGTGCAGTAGCATGGTATATAGCAAGCTTTGCCTCTAAAGGTACTCACTATGGGAAACCCTGCCGCGGCGGTCCAGTGGCTAAGGTAGTCGGCTGCTGACCCGCAGGTCACGGGATCGAATCCCGGCTGCGACGGCTGCATTTCCGTTGGAGGCGAAAATGTTGTAGGCCCGTGTGCTCAGATTTGGGTGCACTTTAAAGAACCCCAGGTGGTCGAAATTTCCGGAGCCCTCCACTACGGCGTCTCTCATAATCATATGCTGGTTTTGGGACGTTAAACCCCACATATCAATAAATCAATCTCATTATGGGAAACCATACAGAGCCTGCTATTTTGAAATTCGTTAAAGATCATATAGTGTTTCAACAGCCTTTCCATACTTTGACGAAGTTCTCCTTCATTCAGGCCAGGATATTGTGGGAGAGAGCACTCCAGTTGTCTGCACAAGCGGGCTCTCTGACGTTTTCAATATATTTGTCCAGGAGCGTTCAATGATGTCCTTGCAGACTTCAGTGAACTTAACTGAGGAGGAGGATCTAATTTTATCAGTGCTACGCTATTGATATATATTTGCGTGAAGTTGTGATTCAGGGACGATATTCGTAGTCGATATAATTGAACAAGACACTGTGCAGAAGTGCATTTCTAGCCCTTTATGTGGCAACATGGGTGATTTCAGCATAGCGAGTCAGAATATAAGTTCCCAACGGCTTTAGTGCGAACGTTTCCCGGCGTGATGAACGATAAGGGCGTGCAGCGAGCTCCTTATATCCGCTGTTGATCCGGCACCACAAATGATCCAAGATATTTCCTTCGTTTTGGGCGCAAAGGGAGTTCATTTTACCGTCTTTTGTCAGCACCCAATCATACCCGCGTTCCGTAGAAGATGTCTTGTCGGTGAAGCAAAATAACAGCCTCGACGATTGGCAGCAGCTTTCATCGGTTCCTTTTAACCTGACCCGATCGATACACGTTCAACCGGTTTCGTACGTACCGACGGGCTAATAAACTGGCTCAGGTTTTTCCCAAATTCATTACAGCACAGCGGCAGTTTTTTTTTTTTTTGCAGTGAAAGCTATCATGAGACTACAAAAATAGTGCCGT